ACTCTGGACAGTGCTGTGCTCTCTGTCCTGCTGTGCTCTGAGCTGTCTTGTCCAAGAACCTACCACTGCCTAAAGATGTTTCTATGGCATCTCTGCTGAACTGTTGCGTTTTCTCTCCCCTGAGCACTGCTCTGGTAGGTTGGGAGGCTCCTGTTAAGTTCCCAAAGAGATGAAGCTTCTTGTGTTTTTCCATTCTACAGCTCCTAGTCCTTGGCTCTTCAGAAGGGCAGTGGGCTTCCCTTGACTTGACTGCCTCAGGCTGCATACAGTGCTTCTCCCAAAAATATATATGAGCCTTTCCCCATGAATGTTGTTGTTGCATTAGTGGGACTGATGACTAGCTCTGGTTTTCATGATCATTGTTTTCTTCCCTTTGCTGGTAGGAATTTTGTGGCATTTGAAGTTCTGAGAGAAGAGGAATTCTCGCCACTAAAAAATGCAGACACAGCTGACAAAGATACTCCTACCACTGCTCGGCAAGCCCTCCTGGCCCAGCATTACCGCTGGGCTCTCAAGGCTGGAGCCAGATTTGTGGATGAAAATGGTTGCAGGATACCAGAAAAACTCAGGTATAAATCTGTGACCTTCTCTGCAGCTTCTCTTGTCGAAATGCTCAGCCATGCCAGCGGGCCAATGGCACATGCTGGGCTCTCCAAAACTGGGCATTAGTGTAGTCACACGGTGGCTCAGCGTGATTTTTGTTCAGCTGGTCCTTTCTGGTTATGCAGGTTGATGTCTATTACACTTCCTGCTTCTCTTGTGACTGTGGGTGCTCCAGATAGTTTGCGCTTGAGGTTCTGGACATTCTCTCTGGCAGATCCCTCCCTACTCCTGGAGTAATGAGTTGGCCCTTCCTGTAGCACGTTGTTAGACAGGGGCAGCCTTTTCCATCACTCTGGAGTTAGCAATGCAAGGAATTTTAATTTGTAGGCCCTGACAGCTTTTCTGTGTCCCTAACAGGACTCTCAGGTAGTCTTAAGGATTGGTTGTTAAAGTGATTACCAGTTCAGATACCTTCCTGCATCATGTGTAATGGAATGCTGCTTTTTTTCCATGGGGCCGTTACTTCATCAACTCATAGTTCAATAGACCCACAAGTTGTTCATTTGACTTGAAAAGCATCTCTATAAAAGGGGTGTTTTGGTTTTGCTGAGTAACATTTGGGACCTGTTAATTCCTTTTTATTTTCACACTTTGTTTTCACATAATGTCTGGTGCATGTGACTTTAACAAATGTCTTATCCTTCTGGATATCCTATTCTGGATAATCTTTTGAAGAAGATGCACTATTTTTAAACTATGGCAGGAAGTTAATCCTGCATTCTCTTCTTTAGTGTCTCAGGAACTGAAGATCCTCCGGCTGTGTGTGAGATTTCTCCATTAGTGTCTTATTTTGGAGAGGTGAGAATATCTATGGAGGCATTTTTAAGAGTGTGCAGGTATGCATCTGACTTCCTTCCAAACACAGGTAGTTTCTTTAGCCTGGGCTTGCTGAGAAATGGTAAGATCAAGGAAACAGGGACTTGGGCTCTGTGTTATCATAATGTGGTTTCATTATGATTTACTCTTCAGCACTTTGTTCACTCTCAATTTTAGCCATCTGTAAAATAAGATTTGCAACAAGGCTGCAGTTTCAGTAAGATTTGCGAGCACTTTGAGACCTTAATGAGAAGTGCAGAATATTCAAATTAGAAGATCCATGGGTTGTTTGCTTATTTGTGCTCATATCCCACAGTAAGTGAATCCTAACTGAGAAATAATGTGTGCTGGCTTTAGGGAAGCCATTTCTCAATTTTGTCCCTCTGAAAAGAATTGATCCTGACAAACCTGCTTCCATTTAATAATGAGAATAGGAGCTTCCCCATTGGATGGACAGGGTGAGAAATAGTAGATTACAGGAAAATGTGTGGGCACTGTTTGCTAGGTTTCCACATGTGTTAACTTGCAAACAGGTAGGTTACACCTACCTGCATTAGGTGTATTCCTCAACATGTGCAGGTGGTGAACTCATTGCAATCAATAGGTTGTCAGAACAAAATGAAAATAAGGCAATTAGACTTTTCTTTGCCAGGGTTATTCTACTGTCAGTTAAGGACACACCTTCCCATGCTGCCCTCCCAAGAAGCTTTCTGACATCAGGTTTCCTTAGCGCCTCTGCTTCTTGAACCCCAGAAACACTTTCTGTTACTGGGGAAACTGTTACTTTTGCCTTGTCCCTGACCTTTGTCAGTCACTTCAGGACTTAAAATAGTGCATTTACAGCCTAACAATACTGTTCTCACATGTTCTCAGGGTCTGGAGGTGTACATGAAGAACAAAGAATTCCCTTCTCCCTTTGTACTCGATGAAAACAAAGTGGAAATGCTGGAAAATTCTTGAAGTGGGAAGCCTTTCCTTCTCAAATCAGATCCATGTTTGTCAGTCCATTATAAGAACTGACAGTACTAAAATGTCAGCTATGAACTGCATTATAAAAATTTTTTTTTGTGGATTGACACTTTCTGGGTGCTAAACAGATCCTACAATTCTTACTGTTGCATATGAATATGGAAAAGAGCCAGTCAAGGCCTGATAAATCAGCTTTGCTTTCAAGAAGATTCAATTTCTTTAGTGCCTTTTTAGGTGTCTTGCTTGTGCCGGTGTGGTTGTTTTTTCGGTTTGGTTTTGTTTCTAAATCACGTGCACAATTACAGTCAGATTGAGATCCCATCCTAAAAAGTATGGAAGGACTTTGGATACTGAGATTTCTCTCCAGCAGTCAGTTTTTTCCCTAATCATGTGCTGATTAGAAGATCCAATTCAGCAATTGCATTCTCTAAGCAGATCATACAGAGTCTGCTGTATGTAGGAATGTTGCTGTGCCTCCATTGCTTGAGGCTTGGAGTCCAAAGTAGAACAGACTAGTTTTGTATGTGGGCTCACTGGTGCCATCCCTAGACTGATTGCTCTTTACATTTGTAGTGACTTGTTTTTTTTAAATAATAATAAAAAAAAAGAATATTTTCGCAATCCTCTGCCCTTCCTGACTATAACAGTTTTCCTTTTCACTTCCTGTTTAATATATACCACAACCCTCAGACAAGGCTCTCTTTAGGTACCTGAAAGTAATATGAGAAACAAATCCCAGTGGTAGAATTTAATGCCTAACCAAAACAAACAAAAAAACCTCTCAGCATCAACAGGGTACACAGTAAAACACCAGCCTCCGCTTCTACAATTTTTCCCCAGGTGATGTTCCAGCACTCTTTCACTTAAGAAGTAATTCCATAGATGCCTTTCTTTTAGCTATGTTACTAACCACAATGTAAAGATAAGTGTCAGCTAATGAAGGAGGCTAATTGTCTGAACCCATGTAGCATTTGAACTCAGCCCTGGCCACGGGGTCTCAGGGTAGCTCTGACCCTTGACCCACCAGTGATTCTTCGTGTTCAGTTTTTGGACACTGCCCCAGAAAGCTCATGCCCATCTGATGCAGAACCTGCGCTGATCATACCTGACTCATTTCAGCCTTGGTGAGGATGGCTGGCTCTGGTGGCTGGCCTTTGCATCAGAAATATTCCATACTCTTTCCCTGAAGGTAGTGAGAAAGATGTTTCATCTGAAATGTTATTTCATGCATCAGCTTCTACTGAGGAATTGCTTATGTTATTTCATTAAGCAATAATTAAGTTCCATGGCTTTCTGTAATTTCTGATGTTAAGCTCTATTCAGAATCATAGAAAAAGGAATGGGGAAATATAAAAATTACTTTGAGAGTAAATACAGTTTGTAAGTATGCTCAAGTTTTCCAAAGAAAGTATCTAAATGTCAGTATCAGAGTTTTTGGTTGTAAAGTGTTTCTGCATGAACTTGAGTAATGATCCTTTCACACATGCAGACCAGTTAATGACTGGTTCTGACTACCTCAGTTGGCATGTGCAGCCAGTAATTCACATTTTTAGTATAAATTAGGCATTTGTCCTTGTCACCCAATTCTGTAGTCTTTTTGCAGTGTTTCTGTGACGCATTCCATTCCTGTCAGTCAAGTTTTATATCTGAGAACAAATTATGTTGTAAATTTGTGAGTATTGCTCAGCAGTTAAAGCACATGCTTCTTTTATATTGTGCTGTGCTATAAAGAAATATTTCTTTTGCTTTTTCTAGTTATTTCTCTTTTGAAGCTTCAGTTTCAATGCACACAGAACAGAGCTGCTGACATAGTTTTCAAGAAGTTAAATTAGAATGCTAAATGCCTTGTCTCTTGGGTTTTTTATTTTCTATGACTCCTCACATTTTAAACTGGAACAGAGAAACAATTTTGAGATAACTTTAAAAAAAATCTGTCCTGTATGTAACAGTCTTTGTATGCATTATAAAATGAAAAAAAGTACCTGAATCAAAGGGAAGATCTGTAGTACTCCAGAAACATCTGGACATCTAAGTATTTTTATCAATAAAGATGTTACTGTGATTTCTGTGTTTTTCTGTTTTTCTTGTATGTGAGCAAAAACACACTTCTTGTCTCTGTCCCTGTGAATGTTGTCACTACAGGTGCAGGATGGTGTCACTGGTGGTGCATCTGGACACTGCAGTGCCCACTCTTCAGATTACAGGGGCATATGGAACTGAGCAGAGGGTGATTCCTGAAGGGAGTTGACATTGTGAGATCTCTTTTTTCATCAGAAAACAGAATAGTTTTTGTCTCCAATCCTGTAAATTTTTCCAAGCTTTTCAGCTTAGTTTATTGAGGGAAGCGGGTTTAACTGCAGGTGGTGGTTGTCTTATTTCAAGTTGATTTGTGTAATACGGTTCTGAGTCAGTCTCACAGCTGGTGTGTAGGTAATGAGCACTTGCTGCAATGCAACTTTTACTTTATATTGAGAGGCACTTCCTAAACACAGCTCTATTTATAGCACAATCAGTAGGGAAAGCTAGAAATACCTCACAAATGGCGGACTGCCCTCATTTGGGGGTTTAGGGCTGAACCCAGCATATGTCAGAAGCAAATGTTCCTTTCTTACCTCTTTCCCTGTTTCTCTCTTGACACCCATGTGTGAAGGCTGCTGGGGATTTTCCTGTGGTAGGAAAATAGTACTAAAAATTAATGCATACTTTAGGCATCTTAAATTGTTCTTTTGCTCATTTATGTGCTCTTTGTATCTACTAGGATTTTTGATTCATTAGTTGTCTTAATCATTAAATGTTCAGAAAACACCAAATTTTCAGTTTTATCTTGAAATCTACTGTGAGGTGGATTCCAAATGTAAAGACTCAAATGATGGATGCTAACCTGCCACTTAGGCATGGTGGAGGTGAATTCACTGCCAGCACTTAAAGCTGCAGTCTTAAAGCAGCTGCTTCAATGCTGCCTTCTTCCAACTGGACTATGAACCTGTGCTGGAAGTTATTTGTTATGCTATGGCTCTGAATGTGTACATCACTAAACAATACTCTTCCCTACTCCAGCTGGCTGTCCCTCCTTCTCCACAGGGAAATCTTTAATTGCAGAGGGAGTGACACAGGGCTGGGAGGCTGTGGAGGAGCAACTGAAGAAAGGAATTGTGTGGGATGAGTGCTTCCTACTGCGCACCAAAATTCAGTGCCAGGTCTTATGGAAGGGTCTATCTACACAACTGGTTAAGTTGCTTTTCACCCACTCACATACATCCTCTCGCAGATTCCAGTTGTCTGCTCTCAGGCCTGTGTTCCAGCACCGCCTGCTGGAAAACTGTTGTGTCTCGGTTTTCCGGTAGCAGGGGGTTAATGCCATCAGACAGCACTTCCCTGTGCTCTCGGAGGCAGCAGCACTTCGGGGTTTTGCCCGGCCGTGCTCACTCTGCAGGTGTGCGGGAGGAGCCACAGTGGCCGTACCCCCTCCACAGGTGCAGGTACAGTGCCGGGGCTGCACCTCACCACAGCGGCCTACTTCCAGCTTCATGGGGACTTGCAAGTCATTTACTGAGCTGATTTTCCTTATTATCTGCCACATGCACGTCTTCATTTACATTTCTTCCATGCCAATGACTGTGACTGGTGTCCCTATGTTGTATTCTCACGACACCAAAGAACAGCGAGGATTCCCAGCCTCTCCTTTGCTTCACTGCCCACCCCGGCAGCTGCTGTCCTCGCTGGGCAGGGCACAGGTCTGCGAGGTGCGCCGGGACAGCGAGAGGCAAGGGCAAAATCAAAGCAGCCCTTAGCACCCCCGCCCAGGCCTGAAGCCGGAATCCGTGAAGTAGGTGGGGGCCTCGGGCCGTACCCACGCCGAGGGCTGCGGCCCCGGAGCGGCTCGGCGGGTGGGCAGCGCGGGCTGAGACCTCCTCCTGCCCGCCCGCGGAAAGGGCCCGTCCCGACGGGGCTTCCTCAGGGCCGCTGCCTCCGCGGCGCCGCCGGACGCGTCCGGCCCCGCCTCGCCCGGTGCCACCGAGCGCGGCCGCGCCGGCGCCAGAGCGGCACCGGAAGCGGTTGGCGGAAGTAGCCGGTCCGTCCCGCGGAGCAATGGCGGCCGGCGGCCTCTGAGGCGCCGCCATGTACTCGGGTGTCGCCGCCGCGGGATCGCCGGGCCGGGACTTCATCTCCGTCACTCTCGGCCCGGAGGAGGCGGTCGGGGTCGGTGGCTACAACAACAGCAAGGCCTGGCGGCGGCGCTCCTGCTGGCGGGTGAGGGCCGTGCGGGGAGCTGTGCGGTATTGGGGTATCCTCGGGCTGGGTGCGGGGGTTACCTGGTGATGGGGGAGGGCTGTTGGGTGGTCAGGAACGTCCCTAGACTTAGGTGCAGCTGGAGTGTCGTGGGGGACCTGGCGTCGTCCCTCAGTTCCGAGTCGGGCAGAGGCCACGGCTGTGGGCCCTGGGCGCTGGGGCGACCCCGCTCTGGGCTCTGCTTTCAGAGTGCTCGCGGAGCTGCTTTCTGCAGGGTAGGGGTGTGTAAGGCGCGGTCTGGCTGAGCTGTCTCCACGTCATGTCTTATTTTTCACCAATAAAGCTGGGACCGGGGTCATACGGTAAAATCCTGCTCTCTGCTAGTGGACATTTGAGGAGCAACGCTGTGCTCTCTGGACAGGAATGAGGGGAGTGAAATTTGGTCTCTGTGCCTTTGTTCCCTGTGTTAAGGCTTCAGGGGAGAGTCCTGTCTTCTGCCCGTGGAGAGTAAAGGGAACTGTGGAAGCTGAGTGTGAGAAGAGGCGTCCTTTGGCAGAGCTCTGGGAAGTGACCTTTTCTGCTTGTGGGTAGAATGGGCAGACAGCTTCATGTGCAATGGGAGTCTTGGGCTGAAGAGTCTTGTGTGGGAATGAGTGTGTCAGAGGGCCAAGATAACCTTTGTTACAGATAGGAGGTGATGTATAGTCACCTATAGAGGCTTTACAGGTCATCGGGTGAAGTGTATGAAGAGCTTGCTAGGCACACAGTCCCACAGTTCTTTTTTTATTACCACCTAGAGAGATACAGGCCCAAACCATCACCCTTCATTTTACACTTACTCTTTGTGAGCAAAAAACCACTAAGGTGGTAGTGAATGCCCTCGCATACTCTTGTGCCTTACTCCTACCCATTGCAAGACACCACAATTAAAGCTTATTTTCTCATCCTACCCTGATGAACCACAGGGCTGCTGGATTTCCAGCATCTTTTTGCAATGGGAAGAGGGTCATAGAGTTTGCTAAGCAGGTAGAACTGAAGATGACACAGAGGGACCAGCATCTTGCAGTGTGCACAGAGAAGGTATAACAGTATTCCTGTACAGTCAACAGTGCAGGTGGAAGGCAGGAAACTGTGCTGTGGGACTCACAGTATGAGCACATTGTCAGTTCTGCACAGAGACATTCCGGCCTCTGGCTGTTGCTAAGAGGATGAGGACTGTGGGAAGTACTGTGTGTTTGTAGGAAAGGTCGTTCCCAAGTGTAGCATTGGCAATGAAGTTCCCTCTGTTATATCCAGAATTAGTGAATTTCAGGAGTACTATTGGAAAAGTAATGGTGGCAATTTAGCCGTTGATGTTTAGCTCCAGCTTCTCTCTCTGCAAATGGAAGCTAATGTACCTTGGCCTCTTTCAGGTTAATATCATTTGCTGTCAATTTTTCTGTGATTATTACATATAATCTAGTGTTAACAATACATTTTTGCCCAGAATTAAACTTGAAAAGATTGTGGGTTTGTCTTGTTAGTTGTTGTGGTATTTTACTTAATTTTCACATTGCTGCTGGTTGGTGCCTCTTTTTTTGTGGTGCAGAATTTTTTCTGTGTGAAAGTTCCCATGCTTGTCAGAGCCAGGATACCTGACTTCTCTTTCACACATTGACAGAATATTCTGAGTTGGAAGGGACCCACTCTTTAAGCAAATGGCTGATACAAGGATCGAACCCACGATCTGCCAGTGATTGGTGCACAGCTTATTTTGAGCCTTTCTTTGCTGCAGTAACATTTTTACTTTTCCTGGCATTTTCTTCGAATTTTGCATATGCACTCCCCAGCCAGGAGGAAAGATTTTGGCTGATTCCCTATTTGATAGCTGAGCAGGTGCTCACGTCAGCCAATGGATATTGTGATTGAAGTCAGCTGTAGTTGAAGCTTTCTGGGACTCTTGGCACTTGGCAGGTTCTGAGGTTCTTGGTAAGTGGTTTTTATGTTTTTGTGCATGCCTTGTGCTAGCTGGTTGGATTTCTGTTTTTTCTGTCATTAAAGAAAATAAGCAATAGATACATGCAGTTGGAAAATTATATGCAGGGTAAAATTAAACCTAGTCAATTTTGTGGTTTTAATCTGGATGGACCAATAAGAGTTTATTTTTAACCAAATAGGTTCTTAATGTTACACTAAATACTCTTTTTGTCACTTCTTTTCTCTCCTAAAGAAATGGAAACAGCTGTCCCGACTCCAGCGGAGTGTCATTCTCTTCCTGTTTGCATTCTTAGCACTGTGTGGAGCAATTTCGTACACAAGCATGGGGGAAACATGGAAAAGTATGTGTTCTGTACGGCTTGCAATTGCCAGAATGAGGTGTTAGAGTTAGGAGATGATTGTGGGTCTTATAACCAGTTTTAATTTCCATTGGTAATGACTAGGTGTATTCATTAAAGTGCAGTTCTGAGATGATTTTATGTGGTGTTTGAATGACGTAATGCTTACTCAAAAATATATTTTGTATGTCTTTACTTTCTTTATCTTGACTAGAGCAACGTTTTGTTTTAGTTGATGTTCTGGTTTCAGCCAGGATAGTTAATTTGTTGAAGTAGCTGGGAGGGGGTGTGGCTAAGGCCTGGATGCTATTCTGTACCACCTCTGTCCTTGCTGGGTGTGAGAGAGGGGAGAAGGGGCTCCTTCTGGTAGAGAAAACATGGCAGGAGCACCAGTCTGTATTCATGCCTTTGTGTAAATAGTTTCTTTTTCCTATACCTTTTGTTATTAATACTGTTGGCCTTACTGTTTGTTTTCTTATTTCATTGCTGTTTCCCCTAAATTGTTCTTATCTCAGCCTGTGGTCTTTGCCTTCTGTGTGTCCAATTTTCAACTCATCCACCTCAGAGGGAAGGGGAAGAGGGATGGCAAAACAGAAAAGGGAAAGAGAATGGCAGTGTGGTTTTTGTGGACAGGGAGCACTGAATTGGGAAGTACTGTTCCTAAACTATGACAGTTGATTAAGACCTGAAGGTTTTGAGTGTGTTTTTTGTTTTTAATTATGTTTGTATGTAGCTATGGGTAGCTCAAATCTAATTACTAGAATAAGGTAATTCTTGGTTTTGACTGCCTGTCAGTTTAGAAGTTCTAAGCATTTGGATAATACTAATGCACATTTACCACTGATATTATCTTATTAATTGTATTGAAAAACTGAAATACTAGCAATTTTAAAAATCCCCATGTGCTCTTTAGCAACTTCTATTTATGTTAGGGAGAGGATTAATACCAAAATACGTTTTGTATCTAAAAATTAGTGTGTGTTTATCAATGCTTTGTGAATGCAAACAGTTTTTGGAAGTGCATCTACTACTTGTATACAGCAAACTGTTATAAATTTCTAATTGCAGCCGTAACTGTTGATTCCTTGTGCTGAGTAGTTTGTGTGTCTAGGTATAACAAACAAATCGTTGGATGGTCAGAGAAAAGAACAAGAAATTCCTAGATTGAAACTGGCAAATCCAGCTGTTCTACCAGCACCCCAGAAAGCAGATGCCAACCATAGAGACTACCCTGAGCTTTCACTGCAGGTAATGTGAGAAGAAATTAGTTTTCTAATGCCACAAAGAATTTGTGAAGGCAAATAGTGCTTGGTTCCAACAGTTGTTGTAGAGGAAGGAGTTAGAACTTGCAATAAACTGGTGCTCTTTGTGGAACTCTGTCCTGTCAGGGAGGGTTTTGGTGTAGTATTTCTTGGCTTTATCTTTTTTATATACATTATATATACATATTCTGTATGTTGTTTTTTTACTCACTGCTCTGCCCAGGAGTGCCAGGACTTTATGTCGCAGTGACCTCTTACTTGAGGCTTTACTTGTGCTGTGTGAATCAGTCTCCACTCTTGTGAGGAGCCTGGAGTCATGGTTTATCTGGGAGCTTGAGAAATGCTTCAGAACAAGCAGATGATAGGAGGTTTTGAAGGGTTATGTTTGTGGAGAATGCAGTGGGAAAGGAACATCAACTGACCGTTTACTGTTTGAATTAGTGAAGCAAAGGGATACTGGTTACTGTGTTGTTTTTCATGAATTTATCTCATGAATT